TAATATTTAACTAACTAAAATACATATAAACCCTAAAATGATCGAAATACCTTGAACTCTAAGTTGACCGAAGTAACCTCGAGTGTTGAAGTGACCTAAATATCCTAACGATTGGAATAAGTGAATGCGCTTGGATAAATTCTAGAAATACCAATAAACTTAATTGTTGTATCGTCCCTAAAGGTTATAGAGCACGTCCCAGGCATGCCTAACATTCTTGATACTGATACAATATAGAAATAAATAATACCATCGGAATACCTATCCGTCTCCTCCACGAGAATCGATCAATGATGATTCCGATGTTGATCGGTTCAGCTAGTGCAGTCAATATTAAGAAGAGAATATTTGTGAAAGATCTCTGTCTGAATTATTTGTAAGTATCGCACTATTGGGATCTGATTCTGATAGTTCGATATAAATCATGAATGTCATAAATCATCATTTTTTCACCATTGGATTAAGTCACCAAGAATTCTTCAAATATCAAAATGTAAAAAATGCTCATAGTAGACTGAGTAATGGAATCCCTTTTGATATATACACACACACGCACACGAATCCTAACTAATTCCAAATATATATGAATCTTTAATGATTCTGATGTAAGGATTTTGAATACCTTTTTGATGCACCTAAAATTTCAAATGATCCTGAAACATCAATTCCTGAATGTCTGGTTAGATCCGTTAGTAAGTGAACCCTTTTTTATAAGGATAGCGTATCTAAAATCCGATCAATCTACAGAAATTATATGTTTTTCCTTCTTGATAACGATCAAGTGCCTCCACAAAATAAATAAATCTTCTAGTGTGTTTCCTATATTCTACATGACCATTTTGTTTGTATTGAAATTATAAATTGATATTTGGTTGATTTACGATTGTTTTTACTGATTGATATATTGATTTATTGGTTACTTGTTTTACTGGAAAATGAAATATGCTAGATTTATGGATCATGGAACTACTGGTTGCTACTTGAACTGTTTTATTGGGGCACTATCTAGGTAGGATGGAGTATGGAGGTTCAACTCTGATCAAGTTGGTAAATCCTTACGGACCTAAGGTGACCATTGGGTAAGCTCTTAGGCCCCAAGATATTCCTTTGGGTAGGCTCTCAGGCCCTAAGGTTCTTCCTTGGGTAGGCTCTGAGGGCCCAAGATATTCCTTGGGTAGGCTCTAAGTCCCCAAGGTACTCCCTTAGGTTGGCTCCTACGCCCAATAGGCCTAGGGTAAGTCCTTATGGATGTAATTATAGGGAACAACATATTGGTGTTCGGGTGGAGGGTATTACAATGATTTTAAAAATACGTTTTATTGGAATAAAATACTACTATTTTTTAAATTATGTTTACATTGATTTATGGTTTCGGGGAAACACACTAGACATCCGTTGCCAATCTCCTAAATCTATCCCTTTGAACATTTCCTTTGAACTGTAAGCTTCATGTCTATTACCTAAAGAAATATTAAGGGAACCTCAACTCATCAGTAGAACCTGTATATGTCTAGATCAATAAGTAAGTTTTATGCTTTGCCATTTTTCTACATGTCCTTCAGCATACCTTCCCAAAGCTCACTGTATAATTTACCATTTCAGGTTAAAGATCGTTTCTGTGCAGTTATCGACATAAGTATGGGAGTTCCTTTGGTGCTATTTGAGAGTACGGTATAAGTGTAATTAGGAGGCATGTAGGTCACATTTGTTTTTATATTAAGTATGTATTTTATTTTGACATAGGACTCTATTGGATTCTATTTTAATATGTGAATGATTTTTTTTTTCTAAAGTTGCGTTTTTATTTCTAAATTGTCTTACGACTTTAAATGGTTTAACAAAAAATTTAATTTTCCTAGATTTTTATTGTGTGTCGCTCCAGTGGCCCTAATGTAACACCTAAGACCGGATCGAATCACCGATATCAATTTGGGGTGTTACATTTATTTTTGTGTGTTTCAGTTACCAAAAGGTTACACATCGTATAAATAATTTTTCATGTTTTATTACTTTTTAAAAATTAAGATAACATATAATTCTTGAAAAATATCAATTTTGAGCTTAATATATATACTTTAATCTTTTCCATAGGTAATTAATTTAAAATTTAATTTTATTATGATTTTTAACGTAAATATCTAAAATCATCTTTAAAAAATAATTTTAAAAAAAAAGTATTTTAAAAATTACGATTTTATAGTTATTCGATTATATATGATCAAAATTGATAGATGATGACTTTGATATTTTAGAAACAAGAGTTATATTTAATTAAAAATAATTTCAAACGTAGAAACAGTTTTGACCTCTCTTAATCAACCTTATAATCTCTATGAGTGTGAATCGGGATTGTGATATAGGTGATGTATTGTTCCATACAATACACACTTGGTGAAATGACCTGCATAAAAATGAAGCGAGCTTGTTTCTATGAGATTTATGACGTCTCCACAACATTTGTGAAACTCTAGACTTGTACATGGCATATTAGAGCACAACTCTAATGAAGATAAAAAAAAAAACAAATGTAATATGATTAATAAGAAAATTTATATAATGAGCCATTAGTTCATAAAAACTTGGTTTATCAATTATTCAGGAGTTAATTGCACTAAACGTCCTCAAATTATGGAGGTTATTCTAAATTAATCCTCAAACTTTTTAATATTTTAATTTCATCCCTAAACTATCATTCTCATTCTAAATTAGTGCCTAAACTTTTGAGCATTCCAATTTCATCCCTAAACTATGACCCTAGTTCTATATTAGTCCCAAAACATTTGAAATTATATCTTATTTTTTAAGCTCTGATTAATAGTTCAAAAAGACACCATAATGAATACATTTTTTTAATTAAGGTGATTACAAGTAGTATATGTTCTAAATATACTCTCAACCATTTGACAATGAACACTCAATCACTTTGTTGTAGTCGCTGATGCTCGAACCCATGACATCTAAGAACAACAACGATTTCTTTAACCACAGAGATAAGTTGGTTCGTGCCATAATAGTTGTTATCTTAGTGGTTAAAGGAATAGTTGTTATTCCTAGAGATCATGGATTTTAGCACAAATGATTGTAAGGTATTTGAACATCTATTGCCAAATAGTTGATAGTATTTAGAGTAGACACTACCACTTGCAATCAATACAAATCTTCAACCCCATTTATATCTCTTTAAAAAAATTTCCCCTCCTTTATATTTCTTCTAAATTTCGTTTTGAAAATTGTAAATAAAAAACAAAATGGTTAAAAATAATTAATAGAAAATAAAAAAAATCAATTCATAATTTTTAAGACAGAAAAATAAAAGTATTTTTTATTTATACTATTTTAAAATTTTAATTAATATTTTATTTTTAAATAGTTAAATATTTAAAACGAGACTGACTTTTTAAAGATTCTTCCTATAAGGCACTGAATTTTAAAAAAAAGTAAAATTAAGAATTAATCTTCTCAAATTAGATCAATAAGGGGCTATATCATGCAGAGTTAATTATAAATATTTCTAAATTATATCTTAAATTTTGAACTAGTCCCAAATTATCGAATACTCTAATTAATTCAAAATAAAATTATTTGAATATATATATATATATATATATATATTACAAATTTAAATATAAAAGAGAATTTTATATCTTAGTTATTAATAATAATGTCTAATAAACACCTAAAATAAACCAATTCTTAATTTTATCCAAATTCTAACCTCCATTTTTTCTACATTCTCAACATAGTTAATACCAAAAAGCAATGTCATTTCAACAGGTTTGCTGTACCGTCTGCAACAAACTAGCGATTTGATTATTTTAACTATCAAGGATTACGATAATTAGTATCAAGCCACTCCTTCACAATTTAGAATACGAATGTTCTTTGCATGGTATTTATACTTAATAAAAATAAAAAATATTTATTAAAAAACTAAAAACTAAAAACTAAAATATTTATAAAAAATCCAAAAATGTATAATTTTCTAACAATTATCCGAGGTAAAACCTTCGGAATTTACGTTGAGCCCTGCATTGTAGAACGTAATGTGTTGATTTGACATAAAATTCTGAAACATCGTGGTGGGGTTACTCTATCTTTGTATTTTAGACTTTCTAATGCCATTGTCCCCTTATGCACCGCTCTACCAGAAACAAAATATCCTGACAATGCCCCATGAATCTTATGACAAATTAATTTAACCTATGTAAATTTCTGTGCAAATGATAAAGAGAAGAAACAAATCTCTCACAGTCTCATACTTTTTTAGTTGTCATCCAGATCCAATGTTTTGCCTGATTAATCTCTCACGGTCTCATATTTTATATGCTTGATATTGACAAATGCATGCACTGTTTAGACGCGTTGTCGGTTCGAAATTGTTACTAAAATATACAACTTTAAGTAATATCCATCATAGTCGCTTAAGTTTACTGTGTAATATGTACATATCTTACCGACAAAACTTGCATGCCTCAGTGGCTTATCCAGGACTTGGCTCTTGCTGTCATTTTCAACTTTGGGTTAGACTAGTAGACGGTAACCCTACTCAATTTTCTTTTTCTTTGCATAATTGGAATAGTAAGACTGTAGCCCAACTCAAAATATTATTCGAGTTCTAGTTTAAATAATAAAAAAAATATTAGTTAAAAAATGGCAATATTCAAGTTTGAGGGGTGGATATTCATACTGCTTTCCGAACCCCAATAGGTATGATCCTTTTACAGGGATAATGATAGTGTGAAGTAGAAGAAAACGAAAAACAAGGGTGAGGTTTGTCATGTTGCAGAATTGGAATGATCACATCACATGCATGATGCATCCTCTTTATCCCAAAAGTAAACACTCACGGGTTCAACAGACTTAGAATTGTCATCAATCATGCAAGCATTTTCGGACTTCTCCATTCCAAAACAAACCGTACTTGACAGTGAAACCATGCATGTGGAAAGAAAGTCAATGAATGATGCCAAAGGCTCTAATATATGAACACCAAAACCACATTCTGATTGATTTCATTGCTTTCCATCTCGTCTTCCACTTTCCTCATCTTACGGTATAAAATCTGCATGGTTTGTTCGGAAAGAGTGAAATGAAAACGCAGTCTCCCTAAGCAGAGATGACGGGGAGGAAAAACCTAGCCAATTTCATTCTCTTGGTTTTGAACTTGGGAAGTTTGCTTGCTTCTCTTGCCTGCCCTCAATGTCCCCACAACCCTACTCCGCCGCCGAAATGTCCTCCGGCGCCTAAGTATCCCCCCAAGCATCCTCCCATTGTGAAGCCTCCATCTCACCCTAAACCGCCGAAACATCCACCCAGGCCTCCGGTTATTAGCCCTCCTTATCATCCCAAACCACCCAGGCCTCCGGTGGTTAACCCGCCGTACCATCCTAAACCACCTAAACATCCACCCCACCCTCCCAAGCCTCCTGTTGTAAAGCCCCCCTATGTACCCAAACCTCCGGTCGTAAAGCCTCCGCCTTACACACCCAAGCCACCCTACGTACCGGTGCCCAACCCACCTTACGTACCCAAACCTCCGGTCGTAAAGCCTCCGCCTTATACACCCAAGCCTCCCGTTGTAAATCCTCCGCCTTACACACCCAAACCACCCTACGTACCGGTGCCCAACCCACCTTACGTACCCAAACCTCCGGTCGTAAAGCCTCCGCCTTATACACCCAGGCCTCCCGTTGTAAATCCTCCGCCTTACACACCCAAGCCACCCTACGTACCGGTGCCCAACCCACCTTACGTACCCAAACCTCCGGTCGTAAAGCCTCCGCCTTATACACCCAAGCCTCCCGTTGTAAATCCTCCGCCTTACACACCCAAGCCACCCTACGTACCGGTGCCCAACCCACCTTACGTACCCAAACCTCCGGTCGTAAAGCCTCCGCCTTATACACCCAAGCCTCCCGTTGTAAATCCTCCGCCTTACACACCCAAGCCACCCTACGTACCGGTGCCCAACCCACCTTACGTACCCAAACCTCCGGTCGTAAAGCCTCCGCCTTATACACCCAAGCCTCCCGTTGTAAATCCTCCGCCTTACACACCCAAGCCACCCTACGTACCGGTGCCAAACCCACCTTACGTACCCAAACCTCCGGTCATAAAGCCTCCGCCGTATACACCCAAGCCTCCTCTTGTAAATCCTCCGCCTTATACACCCAAGCCTCCTGTTGTAAATCCTCCCCCTTACACACCCAAGCCACCTTACGTACCCAAACCTCCAACACCTTATTATCCAATACCGCCCGTCATATCACCACCGTTTGTGCCTCCAAGGCCACCGGTGTACCCCAGTCCTCCGATAGTGAATCCACCAACGCCGCCGATCCTGCCTCCTCCTATTGTGAAACCGCCGACGCCACCAACTTTGCCTCCTCCATCACCTCCTACTTTGAAGCCACCACCGGTGGAGACACCATGTCCTCCGCCGCCGCCTCCCGTGCCATATCCTTCCCCTCCGGCGCAACAAACATGTCCCATTGACACCCTCAAGCTAGGGGCATGCGTGGACGTGTTAGGTGGTCTGGTCCACATCGGCATAGGCAGCAGTGCCAAGGCCACGTGTTGTCCCGTGCTTCAAGGGCTGTTGGACTTGGACGCCGCGATTTGTCTTGCACCACGATCAAGGCCAAGCTTTTGAATATCAATATTATAATACCCATCGCCCTTCAGCTCCTCATCGACTGCGGCAAGACTCCACCTCCGGGATTCCAATGTCCGGCGTAATGATGAGAAAAAAAAACATGTTTCTGGTTTTTCATGTCATGTTATATGTTCTTAATAAACTCTGGTGTTTGCAGGTTGAAGACTTCAGTAATTTGTTTTTCAACATAAAAGACATGTCTAGGGTTTTGCTGTTAAACCTTTTAATAGATGTTGGTGAGCCAGCCATGAGTGATTAATGTTGTTTCCCCTCTTCTCTTATAATTTCAATGGCAAGCTTGTGATATATTGAACTTTGTCTGGTTCTACCTTTCTAAGAGGAAATTATTGAGGTTTACTAATTTTGGAATTGAAAGAAGATGATGAAAGTTAAAAATCACGTTCATGTATTCATTTAGATATGTCCGTACCTCCTCCGATGGTGGGCCAGTCCAGGGACTGATTTTCCTCATATACTACTCAATATTTCAGTGTATTGGACCTACGAGCTACTTCTTATATAGTAGGCAGGCAGCATCACATGTTTGTAAAAGATAGTATTATAGTATCAAATAATTATTTTTATTGTTATTTTATTATTTCAAATAATTTAATATTTAAATAAATAATTTATACTATATTTTTATAATTGATAAATAAATAAGATATATAATAATTTTAAAATATTATGCATCCAGTTGTCATCGTTACATCAAATAATTGTCATTATTATCATATTTAGATATAAGAATTGTAATTAGCACTTAAGTGTAAGACACCACTCTAGTTCGAATTAATCTTAAATAATCATTTTCCTATTCTTTAAAAATTATGATAATTTTAAAAAACAAATAAATAGATAAAATTAACAGAACTAAACTTGATATTTAATACCATTTAAACCCAAGAATTAACTAAATCAATATTCCAACAGACTATTTTAATCAATTTAATTTAATTAATTTATTAATAAATTTTAAAATATTATATCTAATATAAATTTATAATTTGAATCTTAAAATTAATGTTTTTTTATCCATCTCAATCCTCTTTGATATAGATTAATCTAGGGTGATTAAGTGATATGTTCTAAACATACCTAACTATTTGATAAATAATACTCAAATATCATACACTCAGTACTCGAATATTAAACTTCTAAATTATATTTTTTAATTAAATATTTAAATTACTTCCATCGAATAAATACTTAAATTATAATTTACTAATCACTTTAAATGCAAAAATTATATTTGTTTTAAAAAAATATCTCAACCAATCACAAATTAACACGTAAAATTTCATTAGAAAACTATCATCGCACCAAATGTCAATTCATACCACCAAATGTGCTAAAAATTCTTAATCATTTAATAACAAACACTTAAATATTTTATAATTTTTTATGCTCCAACTCAGGATATCTTACAATAATAATCATCATTTTATCATTAAGACCGTTTAATTTGTGCACCAATCTTTTACGTTTAAATAGAAGAGTTTTGTTCGATAATAAAATGATCAATGAATACAAAAGATCATTGAAAATCTATATTTAAAAAATTACTCTGAAGTGTTTTAAATAATTATTTGGTTGAAAAACTTCAGTGAAAGTGTATTTTTTTTTAATTTTATAAGTTGGATTGAATTACTGTTAGGTGTTTTTTTTATTAAGACTTAATACCAAAATAAGTGTTCAAATTATACCGTTTTTTTCAAATAGGTGCCTAATTTTTTTTATTAATTCAGGTGCATAACGTTACAAACGTTACCCATTTAGGTGCTCGAGTCTTCAACGACGTTAATTTTTCCCGTTAAGTGACACATGTCACACTATGATGATTTTGATTTTTTAAAATATTAAAAATATTATGATATTTATAAAAAACACTAACTTTTCTTATATTATAAAACAACCACAAAATCCCAAATCCTAACCTTAATCTGCCTCTGCTACCCTTTCCGGCCACGACCACCGCCACCGACATAGTCCCTTCCATCCTTCTACTCATACTTTGTTCTAGTTTCCGTCGATTGGCCGTCGGTATTGCTTGGGATCACGATTTTCATCCTATGTTTACATGATATAAAATGTTGATTAGTCATCAATCGCCTGTCGTTCGGTCACGATTTTATGGTGGTTTTAGTCGCCGGGGGAAGGGGAGGTCGGGTGGAGCTTCATCAATGGAAAAAGATGACTATCCTCATGGGTTTGAGGGTTGAAATGAAGGTTTTCAAAGTTTTGGGTTTATTTCAAAATTTGTGTTTCCTTTTAAAAATTTGCATATATAATTTTAATTTTTTAATTTTAAATAAAAATTTTAAAATTACTAGGTTGTGACACTGTAGATGCTCATTTTTTCTGGGGTTTCATTCGAATTTCATTTGAGTTTATATATATATCTATATATATATATATATATTATAATTAGTTATTTATATATTAATTATATGGGTTAACTATTATATCTAGTTATGCGCGTGTTTATATATATATATATATTTATATGGTTATGTTTTGACTTAGGTATATATAGGTGTGTCCATTTACATATTATTAATTATATAATATGCATAATACGTAGTTGTATATTGTATTATAGGTATCTTAGCATTGATATATATGTATGTTATATATATATATATATTATGTTGAGTATATTTACAAATAATATTAAATATATATATATATATATATTTATTAAATATTCTTTATTTTATTACAGGCCCAAAGTAATTACAAGGCTAATGACCTAGTGATAGAGGCCCAAAGCAATTACAAGCGACCCAAATGGCAGTCAAAGCCCGAACCAAAGTAAGCCCAAGCTACTAAGGTTTGCAGAAACCCTAGCCTCCATCAAGTCCCAGCGTCGCCGAGCCTTCACTGTTAAATCTCTTATGGGATCAACGACCCATATTGAACACACAAAACTAGGGTTTTACCTTAATGTTGCATCAGCCGTCGTCAATGCATCTGAACCGTTGGATCTGATCAACGATCCAACGATCATTCTTCAACCCGAGGAGACCAACCAACCATGCCTCGTGCGTGGGAAGTATGCTCGACGCTTCAGCTGCTTTCTAAGCTGTTGCGCACACGCGTTTCAACCAACCCCTGTTGTACTCGAGCACATGCTGTAGTAGCACCTGTTGTATCCCTGTCATATTCCCCGACAGTGGAAGAAGGTAGAGGCGACGGGCCACCCACAAAACTCTATAAGGAAGATTAACATTTTCTTAGCCGCGAGATCATCCACGCGATGAGTAAATCGATGGTCCTCCTCCCTCGCATGCAACAACAAAATATTAGAGAAAAACAGGGAGCAATATACAAGGTAGTAGCCAAAAAAGAAGAGGATAACCAAAAAACTGAGAGAAACCGAGAGGATAAACCAAGCATAAAAACAAGAAGGGGAATCTTGTTCTAGGGAGCTAACATAACCAATCAAAAGCAACTAAAAAGAACAAAAAAAGAGTCATTCGTATGACCGAGCAACCAAGTCATCAAAAAAGGGAGAGGCGTCAAAGAATAAAATTTTCAGATTTTCGTTCCGAAAAGTATCGTTGCCATCCCCTGGGATTCAGAAGCCATTGAGTCGAAGGTAAACCCTTCGTTTCCCTAGCCTTGGTCAAGTGATATAGGAGCCGGAGGTGGTCGATTCTTTAGTTTCCTGGGGTGTGTTTGGCTTTGGGTTATAAGAGAGAGTCAGACTCTGTTCGATCCCTCATCGAAGCTCGTATGCGACGATGGCCACGGTGGTCATTTGATTTCGTGAAGAAGGGGTGAAAGAATGAAAAAAAGAAAGGGAGATGAGAGTGAAAGAGAGAATAGATGAGAGGGGGTTAGAGATTATTAGGAAAAGAAAAGGGTGGTAAATAGGCTAAGGTTAGATTTCCCCCCAAAAATGTTATATGTATTCAAGCGCCAAAACGATGTCGTTTCATCTAGGGTAATAAATCCATGTTTCAACGCTTGGGATGGGTTATCCGTTGTATGGGACTCACCAGTTTTCATTTTAATTCTCTTTAGTCTTCAAATCAAGGTTTGCATATTTTGAATTTTATCTCCATATTTTACGCGCATTTCATTCCAATCCCAAGTGTTACTTTCTTAATTTATGTTGTTTTAGAAATTTGGTCATTAAATTTTTGCATGTTTTATTTTAGTCCAATGCATGTTTGTGGGTTTATTCTGATTTTAGTACCTGTAATTATGTGAGGTTGCATTTTCATCCAATAATATGCTTATTTCATTTATTTGTTATTTTACACTTTGTCCGCCTTTTCTTGGTTTTTGCTGTTTTAGTCCTTTATGACATTAATATATATATATATATATATATACACACACGTAGATACGCATAGTATGGTCCATGTAATATATTTTGTTTAGGCATATTTTTAAAATATGTTTTCTATCTAAGATATTATGATGTACTTGTGCAATCTTATGTATGTATGTGTACATATATATTATAAATATGTCTTAATTCTTGCCTTAATATTTTTATGCAAATACCAAATATAACATGATGAGCATTTTCTTAAATTATTAAATGAGTTAATATTAAAGGTATTTATTATATGTTACTTTAAAATAGTTATAATATATATTTACTTAATCGAATTTAAATATCATTAATCCTTAATATGTTTATAAATTATACATATAGTTGCATTTGCATATGCATGTGCTTATTTGAATGTGTTGATCTAGGTTCTATTATTTATTTAAGTATGTGGCACTCCTTAGATAATAGGTATAATACCCTCACAAGCATAACTCGACTCGATCTAAATAATTAGACTAAGGGTAATGCCCTTTCGTTTTAAGGTTACCGTGGAGTGGCTGTGTGTCCATGTTTTGTGAGTACTAAATATGGACATGAAGTATGTGCAAGTATACAAAATCGAACAAGTAATACAATGATAAGTGAGTATAGTCTCCACAGGGATTCGAGGAAATTTATACGTTAGTGTGATGGTATGTACTAATGAGAATGCTGAGGCAATGTGAAATGTATGTTGATGGGGATGAAATGATAGTGTGATGTGGGAGAAAATGGAGATGTTGTGGCAAAATAGAATATCTGTAGAGTAATCAAATGAGAATGTAAAGGCAAACAAAATGTAAACACTGGATTTTAATAGAATAACTTGATAATCCTCACAACAAGCTATTATGGGAATGAATGATAGGAATCACTTAGAAAACTTAAGTATATCTTCTCAGGATGGTCTTACTTCTATGTCTTACTTGCTTGACAAAGTTTACTAAAGGTGATTTACGCTATCTCTAGTCAAGGGACTCGACAGGTCGAGAATGCCTTGGCAATACCTCTCGGCATTAGCAGGTGCAGGTATCCCATTGGTTTAGATCAACAGAATATGTCACGACAATACCACTCAGCGTCAGCACTAGAATCTAACCTCTCGATCGAGAACCAATCCTTTTAGTCGATTGAAATCCTAGCCTTATGTATAAAGGTGGATTAGGTCTAGTTATTATCTAAAACTCATTGCTTATGTTGATCCTCCTTAGTTTCTTTCGAACACTAAATATGGGCTACTTAGTTTCTCTCAAACACTAAGTATCTTCCTAAGGAATGACTACTCTCATAGCTCCTACAACCTTAAGACATTAATCACCATAAGCAAAACAAATAAAAGAAAAGCAACCATCCATTAAAGATAAAGCTTAAACATCCATAGTGAACACACACCAAATAAAACTAGTTCATGGTGGGGTTCGAATATTCCAAGCAATAAGGCATGAAGATCATTTGTTCTATACAACCCAAATATGATAAGTGATAAAAAAGCAAAGGGATGGAGGAAAAACCTTCGACTTGCACTGTCGGAGCTCCTCTCGACCACCACGAACCACCTTAGCTTGCTAGCTCCTCTCGGATGTCTAGCTCGCCACTCCCTCTAGCTTGTAATGGAGGAATGCCACGACAAAAATTAATGACACAAAAATGAGGGACCTTTTTCTTTCAGTCACCTATTCACTCTTTTCTCAAGAATTTTAGCTCAAAATGGTGTAAAATCTCCCTTTCATCCTGTGGCCTCATATCCTATTTATAGTGGGGAATAAACTTAAGGATTTGTGTCAAAATTCCTATGATACCCCAAGTTTGTTCCCTTCACGTGAGGGGTAATTAGAGGTGGCAGTGGTCCTCTCTTGGGTGGCTTGGCAGTGGTCTATCCCAGGAGACTGGCAGCTGGGCGTACGTGCAGACAAGGTTTGTCGACAAAGGTGGTAGATGTTTCCTCCAGGTGTTTGGCAGTTGAAGGCACCTGAAGACAAGGACACCTGGATCTAAAAAATATCTTCTTTTGTCTTTTCCACTTTAGAAATACCGTTTCAAGTTGGCATTCACATTCTGGTCAGCTTTCCCAATATGTCACGGTAATTTTCCTCACTTATCCTTGCTCCCAGATCCTGCACATCATTACACAAAACACCTTCCCCATAACGCAACACCGTTTTCAAAATAAAATGCCACGACAAAATATATTTCAATAACATGCAACTATATGCTCCTAAATGCATCTATATGATCCTATATGGGCTTTTAGATAATAATAACTTAAGTGAAAAGGCCCTAAACATGGCTTTTTACGGAGTTATCACACCCCAAGCTTAAGCTATTGCTTGTCCTCAAGAAATACCATGGTAAGTTCAGGGTCATGAAAGTCATATATGATAGAATTTTAGCCCTCAGAACAGTTTGGTTCAACATGCTAGACTAATTTGAGAAATCAAGTACTGTCCCCTTGGGAAAGATCCTTTGTGTGTGTGTGTGTGATTGTATCAAGTCCATGCTTAAAAAAATCTAGAAAATTTCTAAGCAAGCTCTCTTGTTTTGCCACGACACTTACAAGTTTACTCCCACATTATTTTCTTCTTCTTTTTTAATATTGCTATGAGGGGAGTCAACTCATCACACCTACCGTTCTAGACTTGACAATTAGGTGGAGCGAACACTCCATTACCTAGCCTATTGGGCAGAGTCATCCCGTGACTATTTTCATTCACTCATATGCTATGGATGCCATTTATTTAAATATAGTATCCAGGCAATGCCATGTCATAGCGGAGTGTCCCTCTACAGTTATGTATAAACATTTATTTGCAATTTCATTTTTTTTTTCATTTTCAAGAACATGTGGGGTTTTCATCATTCAAAGACATTGTCAAAGTTTTATTCTTAGACATGCAAGAATTCTCTTATAAAAAATTTCTACATTCCTTAAGCATGGAAAACATACAATCCTGTATCAAAAAATCACAGAGAAGCAAGTCCTAGAGTTGGTTACATCATTCTCAATAGTCATGTACATTCAATTCTAGTCATAAAGAGTTCATCATCACCGGGCATTATTAATTTATTCCAAAGAACTAAATCGAGCACTTACTAATGTAATGGCATATTCATTCAACTAATACTATCATGCAATGATTTGAGAACCCTACCTCCCCCAAACTTGAGAAAAGCATTATTCTCAATGCAAAATAAAAACTAGGGAAAAACTAGACTACATGTTATGCAATGCAATGCAAGGTACCTTGACTATTTATGGTTGTGTTAGAGCTGTGGTGCAACGTGGGCGCTTGCGCAATGGTGTGGGACTAGAGTGTTCAGAATCTGTTGGTGGTGCAGTAGGGGGTCCTAAGGCCTTAAGGGATCAAGGTGAATTGAGGCTCCTCACGTTGAAACACCTTATTC